TAATAATATATATTTATTTTTTTTTTTTTTTTTTTTTTTAACACGCATTAAACTCCTTGATTCTGGAATGAAATAGTTTGGGTTTAATCCCAGCTGTCACTTAATTGCTGGTGACCTTGGGCAAATGATTTAACCACTGAGTCTTCATTAATTCAAGTGATAAAGTATCTAGTTCTTAAGGATAAGAATTAAATGAATATAAACAAAACAGTTAGAATGATATCTGGCATGCAGCAAGACTTTAGTTATCAGTAGACTCTCATTCTATAACTAAAATAAATACCAAAGTTTACCATATATCTCCAAAGAGCCCCATAGATCTGGTAAATATTAGCACTAGCAATGAATTCTATGGGTTAAAAGTACTTCCCCTATTATAATCAACTTGCACATTCCAAGTTTGGTTAATAGTTTACATCTCTTTTCTTACCAAATATTTGCAAACAAAAGCTCTGACACCAAGAGCAAGAAGAGCACATCCCACCAATCTAAATATTCGAAAAGAGTCAAATTCCTCTGTTCTACTTCCATCCTCACGATGGGGTTTTTCACTGATCAGCTGGTTCCGTAGCTTCATTGCTTCTTCAAATCTGGAAAGGTATTGTTCTAGGCCATGGTGAGACCCCCCCTGGACAGTGTCCGCTGTCAGGTCCCCTCTGTTCCGCTGCCGGAGCTCAAGGTTGACATCAGTACTGCACTCCGGTGGTTTCATTAAAGAGTCCAATTTGTCTCCCAGCTGGGTCCCCTTTACGTCTGCCACATCGACCTGTGGGTCTGTTGCTCCTGTACTGACTGAATCACCCAGCACTACTCGTTTTGAAACTGAAGGAATGCTGACAGAGTTCAATTTATCACTGTCTTGCTGCTTCGTTTTTGCTTGACTTTCATCTTCTGTGAAAATAAAATTTTAAAGCCTCATGTATTACACACTGGCAAACACCTTACATGTTAATATTTTTTAAAATGCTGCTGCAACTAGAACTTCACAGTCTCCAAATCAAAATAAAAACTGACTCCGAATGAAACAAAAACTAGTTCCTCGCTCTATCCCTTCAAAATATACTACATCAAAATAACCCAAAGAAAATAATCCAAACTTTTCGGGAAAGAGATAAGACTAGTAAACAAACTGGGAAAGATTTCAGCTTTGGAGCAAGCTGTAAAGGGCTTTCCATGGCTTTCCATGGACAATATATCCTAGAAGTATGACTGTGTTGCTTGGACTCCAGAACCCTGTCAGCAGGGTGTGGCATATCCTCAACTACTGTTTATGTAGTCAGACGCCATCAATAAGTAAAGTGGTTTTATTATGCTGCTCGGATTTAAAAAGAAAAAGCCTTTAAAGATAGATGAAACTTTCAAAGCAAAACCATAAAATACAGGGCTGGGGATTTAGCCCAGTGGCATTGTGCCTGCCTCACAAGTGCAAGGTCCTAGTTAGATCCCTGTACCCACCCACCCCCCAAAAAACCCATAAAATACAAAAAGTATCTCAAGAAAGATAAAAAATACCGAGAAAGAAAATCCTGATATTAATTATTAGGAGAAAACATTTCTATTGTATTAGAAGAATTTGTAAATGATGTTCGTACTCTTCACTCTATCTAGAAGCTCAGAGCTTTATATATTTAACACCTCAAAGAAGTCAGGTAGACTTAGGAGTTCCCAACCAGTGACTAAAGGTCAATTCCTAAAGAAAACACTCAAACAGAAACTAGATAACAGAGGGCATACTAAATGTCCAATTTTTCACATGAAAAAAAATTTTACTGGACATGTATTTGGGCAAGAAATGTACATTCTTTAGTGATAAATGCAGTTCCCCAAATGAATGTAGTAATCTCAGCTAGTAACAGGAAATCTCAGTTGGGTATATTGCACTTGTAGGCTGAGTAAAGAATGATCACTTGTATTTTTTTCACTTCTCCTACAAGGGGCATTAGTGTTGAGGGCATTGAACACTGATACCAAAGTCTTTCCACTAAGAACCCTGATTAGCAGCTAATTCAGTAAAGGCAAGCTGGTGTGGGCAGACCAGCATTACACAGCAAACGGTAAAAGAAGGTGGACGCCAGGGAAAGTGCTGGAAGGAAAACCATCTGAACAGGTGGAAAGGAAAACAATCTTCCCAGGGGGCAAAGTGGACAGCGCAGTCTAGGAATAAAAATGTGAGCCCTTCAAGAAAGGCGAGGGGTAGGAAAAGAGCGTAGGAGGTCTGAGGGCAGGGATTGGTGAAAAAGCTCGGCGGAGTGGAGGGGAAGAGAATAATGATTCTGGGAGAGTCAAAGGATTAGTGAGTGAGGAAGATGAGGGGAAATTGAGGCTCTCACCCGCGCCGCTCCCGGGCCTGTGAAAGCCCATGATCCTGTTGATGCGTTGCTCCGAGTTCATGAGCAGCTTTCTCCGCCTCAGCTCTGCCCGACGCTGGGAAGCCGAGAGGCCCGAGCCAGCCGGGGCTTCGGGTCTATCCCCGATCTCAGAAGATACGGTCACAGGTTCCATCCTTCTTTTCACGGTACTGAAGTGGCAGCAATGCAGGGGAGGTGGTGGCGGTCGAGGTGGTGGCAGCGCGAGTGATTTAAGGCCTGGCTGCACAGCACGTGCCCCCTCCCTCCAGGGGTAGCCCCGCCCCCGAGCGCAGTGCCCGAGACTGCAGGCTGAGCACGCGCGCACCACCCGGAGGAACCGGGCACGCGGCTCTGGCGCCATCTTGGATGAGGGCAATTCGGCTTCCCGGTCTTTCCACGCCCTCACTACCTATCTCTGCCCCCTTTCTCCGCCACTGAATCTCCTCTGCTGTTACTCGGAGGTGAAGAGAACCAGCACACAGCCTAATGAATGGGAAAAGGATTCCCGTAAGAAGGTTCATTTTGCATTAACGCCAGAAAGAAAAATGGAGGTTGCTGCGGCCTCGTTCGTTGGGCTGAGGAAATACGTAACCGAGGGAGCGACGCTTTAGGGAATGTTGCGTTTAGGAAACATTCAGGGATTTGTCCTAGATGTTGGATCTTGTTCCTAGCTACACTTCTTCCAAATGGGTACGTGGTTTATTTTCAAGCATTCCTTACATTTTTATTCAAAGGAAAATTTCCCAGTGACGCGTTCTGTGTCCATTCTGTCAAAAATTGCCAACATTTCTTTTCCCTTTCTCCGCCTTGTTTTTCTTACACACTAGTAACTAACTTGGATGCTAAATATACTAATTTTCTTTATTGTCTGTATTACCATCTGGAAAGCAAGTTCCAAGCAAGCAAATACTATGTTTCGTTCATTGCTGAGATTCCTAGAACTAATGACAGACAAGGATCTTCAGATCAATGGGGACGGTTTATTCATCAGGCACACCACACAATGATAAGAGCCTCACAGACTTGGAGCCTACGAAGATGTTTCAATTTTTATTTCTCTTAACATCGGAAGCTATATTGGTAATCTCACTACAATGATGGACCCAATCTGTTTCATTTTCGTGTCCTTATTACCAACCGTCAATCATAAAATATAATTTTGAGGTTTTATGGGAGGCACCAAAAATACCTGAGAAAAGGAATGAAGGAATTGACTCTGTCAACACTTACTGAGAGGGCAAGTCGCACTGAGGCTGCAGCTGGTGAAGCAGACTCCTGGGCTCCCTGAAAGGAAACATGCCGTACGATCATACAAGATGAAGAAACCTGCTGGGGCATAGTGGTGCATGCCTTTAATCCTAGCTACTATTCGGGAAACTGAAGCAGGTGGGTCACAGGTTCTAGGATAGCATGGGCAACAAAAATTTAGTGAGTTCCTGCCTCAAAATAAGAATTTTAAAAAATGCTTAGAGTTGTCAATAGGTTTGAAGGCCCTGGGTTTAATAACCAGAAAAATAAAACAAAAAAACCCAAAAACCAAAAAACAGGCTGACTGAGATGGAGGAGGAGATGTATGTAGTTCACCACTCTCTGGGTTCAGGGTCCAGTACTGAAAAACAAAAATCAGGAAGTTAGGTCTGGAGATGTGACTCAGTGTTAGGAGTTACCCATTATGCTGAAGGCCCCCAAAAAAATATTTTTTAAAAAAATCTTAGAAATAAAAAATGTAGTTATACACATACAAAATTAAACTCCAGTCTGAGCATAGTCAAGAAAGAATTAGTAAAAATAAACATATAATATGATCTATGGGGTGTAAGAAATAGAGGGCATGATAGAGAAATAGTTTGAAAGAAAATGGGAGTTTTCTGTAATTAAAAACAGACACACAACTTCAGATTCGTTTTCTCTGAGTAACAAACAAGCAGTAAATCCAGGGACATAATATCATAGAATATTTAAGGATTAAAAAAAATTAAAAGCTAACAGAATATCTTCAAATGAACAACCAATGGACCTACAGTAGCTGTTTGTTTGTTTGTTTAAATAGAGACAGGGTCTTGCTGTGTAGTTCAGGCTAGTCTTGAACTCATTACATAGTCCAGACTGGCCTCAGGCTTGCAGCAATCCTCCTGCCTCGGCTTCCCAAGTGCCAGCATGCCAACATGCCAGCTAGCATACCTGTTTTAGGAGTAGTTAATCTTCAAGTGAATAACAAATGAACAAATGTCTTAACCATATTAAAAAAAAAAACAACTAAAATCTAGAATTTCAAACCCAGCTATTCTTGCAGGATAAGCATCAATAATTCAATTTATGACCACTCAGATGCATACTTAGGAGATTTAAAGCACCTCCAGCTATAGCTTTCCATCGACTTAACTTGAATGCTCAGCATAGCACTACCAGTGACTGGCAACTTGTTCATATCACTCTAAGCAGTTACTGTATATAAGTTCTTTCAAGTAGCTTTACTGACTATACACACTGATAAGTTAACACAGATGAAACAATTGTTTGCAGCTGACTTTTTACAGGGTCTAAAGCAGTGAAAATCTTAAAAATCACATTTGGTAGTTCCCTGGAGTTGTTACGCATTTCTGATGATAAGACAAATCTTTTATTCTAGTTATTGATAATCTGCTAGATAATACATTAAATTAAAAACAATGAAATTATAAATCAGAGGGTGATCAATCCTCTGGCTGCCTAGAGAGGGCAAGAGCTAAAAACAGAAAGACAAGGGACCAGGGATTTAGCTCAGTGGCATTGCACCTGCTTTGCAAGTGCAAGGTCCTGAGTTTGATCCCCACACACACAAAAAACAAAAAGACAAAGGGCTGGCTATTTAGCTCAGTGGCATCATGCCTGCCTTGCAAGCTCAAGGTCCTGAATTCAATGCCCAGTACCAAAAAACAAAAAACAAAAAAAAACCAATAGAGACTTGCATAATTTCAAAGTATATGGGTGTCTGAGAGGTCAGTGCCTCAGAGTGGGCAAAGACACTCTGAGCTAAACACTATTTATTGGGTTCATACAATAATTGGAAGGAATATTGGGTGACTCAGAGGGTGGGAGTAATCCTATGTTAATGAGGATCTTATGCTGATGAGGGTTTTTCGGTGTTTTGTTTTTAATCAGGGATCAAATGTGGGACCTTGTGCTTGCAAGACAGGCAGCGAAACCAATGGGCTAAATGCCTGGCCCATGCTGGTGAGGATCTTACATTAATGAGGATGGTGGGATGTGCAAAACATTCTTACAATAGTATGAGGGACAAATTAGGCTAATAAGGAATTTGTCCCTCTCCAGATGAAACCTTCCTCTTTTATTTTTAATTGAGTTTATTGGTACTTTTTAAGCATACAGTACAGTTACATTCATCATTGGGGTCTTGTACCTTACATGACACCTTTGTCTGTCTCTCTTTTTTATTTATTGCTCAGTTCTCAAAGAACCAGGATGTCTTCAGCTGATGTAATCTTGCTCTTGAGCATCACCGCATCATGGGACCATTGAGGTCTTAGCTGTGACCAGAGGCAAAGCTGAGTTCTTTCCGCATGCCATAGCCTGCTCTGGGCAAGAAGGCTAGGCCTCAGACAGCTATAGGCATACTTTAATTATGAAGTGACTTTTCCCAAAAATTATGTAGACTAGCTCTCAACAATTATGTGCAAGCTAAAATAAATGGCATTGCTTGAATTCATATTAGTATGTCAAACTTTTAAAATGTTATTTAAAAATTCTAGAAAAAGAGCTAGGGATTTAGCTCAGTGGCACCACACCTCCTTGCCAACACGAGGTTCTGAGTTCGATCCCCGATATCAGAAACAAACAAACAAAAAATTTAAGAAAAGTTTTGTGGTAGAACTGCCATTCTCAGATATGTATATAT